TAAAGTGCACTCAAGGAAGGGCAATTAATAGATAACACAATTCTATGAGCAACAATATGATACGACCATTTTATCCATGACTACTAACATTACAATGCACCAAAACTCCAGCTGACAGAGATCAGGGATTCTGAAAGAAGTCTGTGCGATAATAGAAAAACTTATCTTTGAGGGACTAGAGCTTTTCATGAACTGAATAAACAAAGCAGTCCATTCCCTCAAAGTTTCAAAGGCAATGCTGAGATCTTTAGGGATCTACACTCCAGTGCTATACCTAAGTTTTTGCAGTACAAGGCCATGCAAAAAACACCCTATTCCCTCTGTAATCAAGTGCAATATCTGTTCTGGAAGTGGCCCTCTTATATAAAGGGGTATGTTTAATTTTCCTCCTCCACTAAACATTTGGCTAAGGCTATGGGTTTGACTGAGGTGTGGAGAGCAACATCACTACTATTCCAGAGCCAGTCTCCCACTGGGCATGTTCAGAGATTAGAACCAAGGAATGGGTATGGGACATCATCTTCCATGACTGTCTCATTCTATTACTTCCCTTGCTCCCTTCCCTACCTCACCTCCATATTCTTTTTCAGGGACCCTCCTCATGAGACCCCTTTACAAAAAAGTGACCTTGTTGCTTTTTGTAGGAGCTATGGAAGAGATCCTGAAGGAATATCTATATTACCAATATTTCCTTAGTCTGAAGAAGAAAAGGGATCTCCTAGATCTGAGGAGACTGATCAAATTGCTGCCTCATATTGAGGATGGTAATACTCATCTCAATCATTCCATCACTGTAAAAGTCAGGATCGGTTTATACCTTTCTATTTACAAGGCATGTACTTCCATATTGCCATTCATGAGTCCACAGGAAATATCTGAGATTAACCATGAGGCAGAATCATTACCAGTATAAGGCACACCCTTCCAGATTCTCACATCACTGAGAGTTTTTATGACATGCCTCACTATGGCAGTAGGAAACCCAGAGGAAAAAGGATGTCCATGTTAATGCATAGTTAGATGACTGGTTTATCAGATAGAGATTACGTCAGGAAACTAATAAGCCTAAACTGTGCCTTAGTTCTTTGTTCATTTGGTCAGGCCTCCTGATACACTGTGGTATGTTATTATGTTATCAAGGTCAACAGGGCCAGAACAGGTGTAAGAAAGGACTTACAAAGTAAAGGACAGACTCCTTTGTATTCAGTCTTTAGTCAACATGGTAATATCACATTGGACTATGACATTATAGATTATTTTACATTACAATATTGCTTATTCACAATACTGTGCAACTATAGGTGATACTGTTTGCAAAGAAAGTTCTAATCCTACTTCATTCCCATCTTCTTAATACTAATTTGGCTGCAGTGTCCCAAAATGATAACATTTATCACCTTGTTGCCATTGTTAGCTATAGACGCATTAGGAATGGGCCAGGGACCATTTAATGGTATAAGGACCATTGGCCCCAGAAAATGTGGAACTCCATATACATGTCATATACCTAAGAGCTATCAGTTTGGCCTGTATGTTGTACTATGACACTTGGAAATTTAGATACATAAATCAAGACTGGAAGGGGGGTCATGCTTCTATAGATTGTTGAACAGAATCTGAATTCTGTGCAGAATTCTTGTACATGGAACCTATGGAAATGCTATCGTGGGCTAAATATTAGGGCTGTGCAAAGCTTCAGTTGCTGATTTGATTCAACAGAGATTCGTGCCGATTCAGTGGCCGAATTTCCGAATCCGAATCAAATCACGAGACCCTTTAATCTCTCCGAATCAAATCAGAACCCTCTGAATCGATTCAGAGAGATTAGGAAAGCTTTGATGATTCGGACACAGACACGGCTTTAAATATTTTTTCTACATACCTCAAGGTACCAAGCGGCTCATGAATGCTGAGATGGTGGGGTGGATGGAGCATCCCAGAGGAGCACGGGGTGGTCCCCAGTGCACTCAGCAGCATACCCGGAAGTGGACCAGAAGCACTTCCAGTCCACATCTGGGTTCGCCACCAAGCATGCGGGTGGCCCCCCCACACTCCTGTGGGACGCTCTATCTGCCCCACCATTGCAGCATTCATGAGCCACATCTGGTACCTCGAGGTATGTAGAAAAAACATTTAAAGCTGTGTCCTATGGCTGAATCACTGATTCTCCAAATCAACATTGAATCTTCAGATTCGGATTTGGCCAAATCAAATTGGGACAGTGATCCGAATCAAGAAATTGAATCACTGTCCCCAATTTGGGCTGAATCTGAATCAAATACGGCCTGTTTCATGCACCCCTACTAAATATAACCCTAATTGCTTTGCATCTGCCAAGAGAGTAATGACGTGACAGACTTATGAAGCACTCAGTGTGCCACCAAGAACATGTGGTCACTGAAGAAATCCTTCACTAATTCAGTATTGTATCTTCGGGGGATTTTGAGAATAGGCTTATTTTTCACCGAGGAAAACACCAAGTTTTTGTATTCCAAATTCAAAGGGGAATGAGCCAGGAACCATAACTGGATGCCTGCTTTCTGTAGTGCAGTTAAAGACTCCTATACCCCTTCCCATCAGTTTTGCTAAACCTGAGGGTGACTGCCATTAGGATTAGCTGATGAGATCAGGCAGTTCTCATTCTTGTAGGTCCTAGTAGCCAACACAAGTTTGATTTGACAGATTTATTGCCAGTGCAAGCTCCAGTCAGACTGCCTGGACCTGGCAAGATCAAGTCAACCACTCACTGCAAATGACTGATATAACTGGTAGCTTGGATGAAGACTGGTTGAGCACCATGGAAAGACTGTCCTCACATCTATTTGTGACTACAGCAAAGCACTCCATAGACTAAGCTATTTAATTTCCAAGCTTACAAAAATAGATAAGGCATTGTATCTTATCTCTGTTCCAGTTAGCCAATAATCCTCACTTCCCATGTACCAGAAACCATGCAATGTCTTTGCCTACTTTTGAACCATGTCAGTATCTGAAATCTGAAAGGTTGCTATGCAGAGCAGCACATTCACATGTACCAGTATGCACGCATTATGCACTGATTTTAGCTGCTAGATCAGATGCCAAGGTTGGGAGAGCAGTGTTCCAATGTCTTTTCAGCTGATGAAAATGAGAATTCCTGTTCCCATCATCCATGGATGATATTATTTGTTAGTCACAGAGGGATCCACGCACATCTCAAAACAAAACAATGGTTCCCCAACTTATATAAACCATTTTTCTTTTAAATGTTGCACTCCATGTGAATCCCACAGTCTGTCTCTCATTCCTCACTTTCAGACTTTGAATGGCAAGGGAACTGAGGGAGGATCACAATTGCTCTGCTGTTTATTCCTTTGCATGAAAATATATAGAGATCCAGGGTACATGGCTCCAATGGGCGTTGCTGTTGTATAAATTCTATAATGAAAACCACAGTGACAATAGTTTCTCAAGGCAAACATTCTTTTCTGTATGCTAAGGATTCAAGAGAAGACATTTATATAAATAATGAGAATTTCCACAGGTTATATGTTATAAGCTATACATTTTGGAAGTGCTTTGAATTCTCATGTTTATACATTCTTCATACTTACAAGGCTTAGGAGAACAGTTCCAAAACAGGCAGGTTACTATCTACTGAAGAGTTTGTTGCAAGTCCCTTGAAAGCAGCTGGTACTGGTCACTGTCAGAAACAAAGGAATCACATTGATGGGCTCACCTGCTGCCAAACAGAGCAAAGAAAACATCTGCGTTTGTTTGTTTCTATGGAAACCTATGAATTCTGCAATAGGAACCTAAATCTGAAGTTCTTTCTATGGCTACAGGCTTGTGGAATTTGCAGAATTCCTGGTATAGGCTGTTTTGTTAAGTTAGCAGTACAAAAGGTTAATCATATAAATGTACTATCTCAGATTCACTTAATCAACCATCACCTTACTTTCTTGCTCTTATCACTTCAGTGCTTCCAGATGACTCACACTTCCAGAATTTTTTTTTTCCCAGCATCACTGAGTGATGTGGATTTTAAACTTGTTGGGTCAGATCCTCAGCACTGGTAAATCAGCATAGCTCCACAAATTTCATCAGAGCTCTGTTCATTTGCTGTGATTTAGTATGTGGCCCCCTTTGTGTATAGAAAGCAAGCAGCATGTTTTTTTACAAGCATCAAGTTTTCTTAAGAAGGGTGTTTATAACTTCAGTGGCAAGATGCTGACTGCACAGTTGTTACTGTGCAGTCATTTACTACTTGCATACACAAGTACTAAATGTCCGTGCAGTAACCAGCATTACTGTACAGTAGTATCCCCGAACGGCTTCTTGGTAACACTAACTGTATAGTAGCTCGTTATTACTGTGCAGTAGCGTTGCATCACGCTTTGTGCCGCATGGCGCTACTGCACAGTAGTAATGAGCTAATACACAGTCAGCATCTCTTGTAGATGTGGCCAGTATACATTAATGTGGCATACATATAGTTGCATATATTAATGGCATTGGCATAATTGATTACAAAGAGGAGTAATATACATGTTTATTGAAGGATAGGCATTTTGAAACAGGGACAGTATCTTCTTTTGCATTTGGAAAGTGCCTCATGCTGTGAATGCTATCAGTAAATAATAAATAACAGCAACAGTTATCTTGAAATTAAAAACAAGACAAAGCATAATAATGGGTAGACTGGGTTTTTAGGTTAGCTAGGTCGGATTTCTTTAGCATCAAGAAAATAATTATTGTATGCTTTTCAACTAAAATATCATCTCACTTTTTAGGATATTGTTCCCAATAGGTTCTCATTAGTTCACTCAACCTTTCTGGCAAATTTTACGATGGGTCCTTTCTTTAGACTAATCTTATCATAACATATAATGTCTACTCTTAGTTTCAAGTTACATAAGAGGTAAACTATCAGTCTGTGATATATGAGGGTTTATTTAACCTTTGCTGTCCCTTTATACAGTATATTTTAAAATTAACTTCTGTCTCTGTTCTGTTTGTAGCCACAGCCGTTTCCAGTGAACAGAATCCAGTCATTATCATAGCAGTGGTTGCTGTGGCAGGCACCATCATTCTGGTCTTCATGGTGTTTGGATTCATCATTGGACGGAGGTATTATACATTGTGTGGTTGTAGGCATTTCTAGCCTTGTTGTAGCATTATATCAGCCTTTATCTTGTTGTCCATAAATGGAAATTAAACTCTGTGTTTAATCTGATAATGACATTTTAGATATAAATCCCATGTAAGGATACAAATTTATCTCATTTGTTTTTCATTTAAAAGTAGCTCAAGACATTTTTTGTCTTATTGCATGAGTATTCTAAATATAACTGTTTGCAAGATTCTGTGATCAGATCCCTGAAAGTCCATTTTCTGTTGAATTCCTCACTCATGGAGAAGTCTGATATGCTGCCATTCAAATAAGATTGCACTTGGGAAGAAGAGTTGTGCTAATAAATTTAAGAGAGAATCATTAAAAAATAATAAGAGAAACAGACTACTGCTTCTTTTTTCCAAACCTGTTAATCTGCAGTTTGTTTTACTCATAGCATCTTTTAATGAGGACTAAACTTTTGTTGCTTAAGCCTTAGGACTCTTCCCAATAATTATTAGATACAAAAATCTTTTGATTAGAACTGTTCATGTTTTATTTAAAACGCTGCTTTAATGAGAATTACAGCTGGGATTTTTAAAGGGCCTAAGGGACATTGGTGCTCAATGACTGAAAATCCCAGCCTGCAAAATGGAAGCCAGTAGAACATTTTAAATGTGCAGAAGTAAATCATTATTTTCCAGTAAAACTAGACTCTTTCTTTTCAGGCACTGTGGTTATAGCAAAGCAGATCAAGAAGGGGATGAAGAACTTTACTTTCATTGTAAGTGTTTTGCTTTTTTTCCCCAACCCCCCTCAGGAATTCCTAACCCAATTATAAGACATTGGGATTGGCAGTAATGGAATATGGACAGTACTAAAACAACATTCCATTAGAGAAAGGACTATAATAAATCTAAAATCCTATGTAAACAGCCAGTGTTAAGTTAAAAACCATAAAAACACATGACCTACACAGAAAAGGACACAGATTAAAATCACCATTGCTCACACCATTCTATATATATTTGTATAATATACAGATGTTTCCATTCTGCATTTTTTCTTTGGTTCCTTGTTGTATAAGTGTTTCACACCATCCTAATGATCCCCCCTGAGATACTATAATTGATAGGTCCTTAGCAAACTGGTTATCTGATCTTTACCTCAGGCAGACTTCTGATTGAGAAATTGAGGGTTGCTGTATCACCCCAGTAGTGATGCTGTTCTGCTCAAAAACTGTTTTCTGCTACTGTGAACTTTGTATCTTCAACATCCATAAACTGTAATATTCAGAGAGAATAGTATATGTGATGGGAAAGAAAGCCTCTGCTTTTTAGTTACTCTTCTCTGAATATCTTCTCTTATTCTACTCTGCCTCTAGATTCAGTTGTTGAGTTGCAAATTAGCACCCAAAATTGTTAGCACCAAAATCAGTTGTGCTGGTTTGGCTCATACAAGAGCTGTGTGAATAATTAATTAAATCCATTAATCTATTTTTTCATCCACTGTGATCTCACGCTTCAAATTGAATGAAAGAAAACAGCAAAGATGATAAGAACAGTTCTTCAGGGACTCGGGCAAAGTGGAATAGCCTCACATTTAAGCCACTGAGTCCAGTTACACTCCTAATAGGTAGCATAACATCTGGCCTCTTGTCTTCAGATTGTTTTAATACTTTTTATTTTCAATGTTAACATCAATTTTAGATGAAAATTTGAAACATCTCATTTTAAAAAATTGTCTCAAGACTTAGAAGAAACACAGACAACTTTAACAAATATACTAAAACTAGCTAAAAGTATCAGTTTAAGGAGGTAATATAGCATCCTGAAATATGACAAAACTGATTTTAAGTTTTCATGCAGATTTCCTATTAGTAGAATTCTATTTATTCATACTGTGCCATGGGTAGTCTTTATTTCTTGCAACCACTGCTTCTGTAGGCTTAATCCAATAAACATTTTGTATTGCTTTATATTAAAACTTCATAGCGTAATCTTTAATTGGGGTGTGCAGATGAGATGGGTACCAGGCACAAAACATATGTTCTAGCATCTCCTTACTACAGAATTCTTTAAATTAGGAGTGATTTCCAAAAATTTGAGTCAAATTCTTGTCAGGGTTTCTATCTGACCTTTCTGGCATGACAAAATTAGATCAGCCTGGATTCATTGATGCTTCCTGAGTTGAGATGAGTTGCTACTTAAAATCACTTCATTTATGTGCGGTGTATTAAACCAAGTAGTGATATTGTTATAGTCTCAGTCAAACAGCCTATGATACGGTACGTAAAAGGTGTTAAATAATAATGGGATGAGTATTAATTATCACATATTCTTCAGACTTGTTTTTTTAAGAATGCATCAAAAATCTGTTGCTGTTCAGATATAGCAACTGGGAGCAAGATGTTTGATAATTGCCTCCTACCATTTTCAGTAGACTTTTTGCATTCCAAAACATCCACTTTGTTTTCACCTTTTAAATATCATTTATATTTCTGAGGGAAAAAATCAATTGCATTTTATTTTATTTCCCTGTAAAGAAAGAAAGAATATACTGGCAAAAAAATTCCAGTCACCAGTCTTTGTTATGAATAGTCATCTTTAAGTTCTGTGATTCATAGAAAACGTAGAGGAATAATAAGGAAACTGGTGCTGATCAAAGCATTCTGACACAGTCTTCCTTCCTGAAAATCTAGTTACCCAAAATCCAATAAATAGAAACTCAGAACAGTTAACATACAATATCTCATTTACACTGTAGCATGAAGTATTATAAATCACTATTTTACCAAAATACTTTTTTAATCCCTGTTAATAGAAAGTTTTGCATTTAATTTGATTTGATGACCATATCCAGAGTGAGATGAAACACCAGCGCCATGGTCAGTAGCTATTTACAATTTGGTGTCTTTTTGTTCCTTGGCATCAAGGCAATTTTCTAATATGCTAAGACACCAGATTGAATTTTCACAGCAACTTGAAAGCAACCATTTAGCTAGCTTTTAGAGAGTGAATTTAATAGAATGTCCAATCTTTTATTTCAGTCCCCCTCAGCTTTCCATGGCCCCAAGTGCTACATTTAAGATATAAACACAATGGAGGAGTTTAGTCAGACAATTCCAATTTACATTTTGTTTCCTCCTACCATTTTCTTCTAACAATGTCTTCAAATCCAAGCCAGCACTATTTCACATTGGTATGCCAAGATGGCTTTGGCCTGTCAAAATGTTTTATGACAGCTTGAATAAAGAACCATCAGAGGCCCATTAGAGATTCACAGAGTTACCTCCAATCCAGGCCCCTTATCACAAACACAGGAGGATGGCTTACTCTCTGTTTCCCTGCTTAAAAGCACAGTGTAGGAGGTTAGCCAGCAGTTTTCTTCTCCCTCCATGCTCTTCTTGTTTGGCAAAAATGAAAATAAGTGTTTATCAGCTCATAAACTTGAAATGTCTCTGCTAAAAAGCAGCTCAAATTAATTCCTCAGCAAAATCTTAAATTATTTTTGTTGTAATTATGGTAATTGAGTTAATTCTTCACATTCTGTCTCTCTAGTATGTGTTAGTTTTTCCCCATTATATGACTTTCAGTAATGTTTGAAACATACCAGGACACATGCCATACAAGTTCCTTTTCATTATGTGTTCAGATGTAAAGCAAATTCAGTTTTAATAAAGAAATTACAAAGCAACCATGTGCTAAGACACCAGATTGAAGTAATCTATGTATTGAATTGGTTCTTGATCCATTACTTGTATCTCAATAATTCATAGTTTATCTATAATGGTATTCTATAATCACTGTTACATTCAGTAGGTTGGGAAGTTTTGAAACGTGGGAGCTCTCAGTGCCCGGTTAAGCTAGTAAAACAGTGATGTAAGGGAGAAGTCCTTCCCCAAGATTGGAGAGGAGGGTAAGCTCTCATAAAATTTTAGAGGACGGAGGAATGTTGCTGCTTTTACCCGTTTCTTTCTTTTTTTTTAAATTGCTTTTCATCCATAGATCTCCACTTAGTATCTTTTACTACAAACAAGAGATATAATTGCTAATTTTGGTCACTGTTTGAGATAGGATCAGGCAACTGTGTCAGGAAACTTGCAAATGATGGCTAAGCCTCAAATTGCCTCTTAAAGCTGCTCTGATTCAGGTGGCGTGGAATCAGGTTCACTGTTCCAAGGAACACTGCATAATGAAATTCCTGGGCTGACTGCACAATAAGTGTTTTGCTTCATCACAGTCATGCTTTCTTACATCATTACAGTTAAATTTCCAGGCACCAAAACCTACATTGACCCTGAAACCTACGAGGACCCAAATAGAGCTGTCCATCAATTCGCCAAGGAGCTAGATGCCTCTTGTATTAAAATTGAGCGTGTGATTGGTGCAGGTAAGGCTGCTGTGGCTTCCTTATTCAACTGTTCCATTTAGCCAGGATCGAAACTCATACATCATAATGACAGGCAAATAATTATACCTCGAGTATAGAACTTTTTGCATTTACCAGAGCGGTTAGGAGCAATGAAGCTGCACTGTTAAAAAAAAAAATTAAATAAAAAATGAAGAAGTTTGCATGCCATTGAAGCTTGTGTGCTTCTAATTCTGTATCTGCTTAAAAAAACTGAAAACAACATTTTGTGAAAAGCATTGATTTTGCTACCTATTATTCATTGTCAGAGTAAAGATGTTGGACATGAATGCAAATCTTGATTCCTGTCTCCCATAAGGAGTCCCTTTGACCTCTCTGTGTTTACTTATATGAATAAGGATAGTAGGCCTGCAAACTTACATATCAACTAATGAGGGCTTGGTTTTATACAAGATCTTCTTTAAAACTGCTGTTTCTTGTATTTTCTTCTTTTTTTATATTTTATTAGCACAAAAAAGGTTTTGTTTTACCTCTCGTGACTGATTATAACTGTACTGGCATTACACTGCTTTTCTTCCTCTTGAACTGTGTGCCATCTACTTAAGCCATGGTGTTTGTGCTCTATAAAAGCAGTTTCATTTGTTTGCACTTGTGACATTTTTATGTAGTGAGATTAAGTTTCCATAGAAAAGAAAAAATATCAAATGCTTTGGACTTCCAAAGGAAATGTTCTTTTGCTTTCCTCTTGTTCTATAAGTAATATTAAAATATTTTTAAAAATCACCCTACCATAGTTCAATATACATTGTAAATGATATACAACAATTATATTTAAAAATAAAATCTCTAAAAATGCTATATTTTAAACGATAAGAAATTTACAATGCTTCAGATTTGTTAATAATCTGCTCTCAAATTCACATTGCCTTATATACATACTTACTTGTATTGAATGATATCTTCTTCAGGAAAAGTCCCACTGATATTAGTAGAACTGTTTCAGAAGTAAGTTATTGCTAGGGACCTACCGAATTCACGGCAGAAGTAAAGTATGTGGCAGGTCCTTTAAACTTCCATGTTCCCCCATGCACACCTTGCCCCTCTTCCCCCACTCCCCCACTGCTGATTAGTGGAGGATCCCGCCGCTCCCTCCTTATCAGCAGGGAAGCTAAAACCACGGTTTTAAACATTGCGCCATTTATGCCTCCTCATCAGTCAGCAGCAAACAGCAGGGTTGTCCGGGGCCCCTCAGCTAATCAATGGTGGGAGTCAAAAACGGCACTATATTTAAAACTACATTTTTTACCTCCCCACTGATCAAGAGCGAGCCACAAGCATGGCCCCTCTACCAATCAGTGGGGGGAAGAGAGAGGGGCCACAGCGGAACCTGCAAGATGAATGGAGCCACAGAACACCCCACTTCTGCCATGAATTCGGTAGCTATTACTCAAAATGGGCAAGGCCATAGGAATCTAGTTTTTAATAATCAGCACTTATTGCAGTACTAGTAATAGCAGTGTGTTTGTTTTCAATGTAGCATTATTTTTATGCTAGAAGGATCACATCCTTTATTGCAGGGGTGGGCAAACTATGGCCCATGGGCCAGATCTGGCCTGCCAAGGGATTCTATCTGGCCCACAGCAGGTCCCTCAGCCCTGCCTAATCCAAGTGCAGATGACAGCCCAGGCTGTGGCATGTGTGGCTGGTCCTGCTGCCCCTGAGTGTGCAGCAGGCCAGGGATAGCACAGCAGCTGGACTCAACTTCCTGGCAGCCCCTGACAAAGCAGCTTGCTGTGCCCAACGGCCAGTGCCAGTCGGCTCTGTATCCAGTAGAAGTGGATGGGCAGGCAGGGCCTGCCCATGGAGACTAGCCTGGGACCCCCATGAGTAGGGGCACTCAGCTGGGCAGATGGGGCTGCAGGTGGGCAGGGAGCAGCATCCAGGAGTGGGATGGGCAGCCAGGGCCAGGATCACAAGGCGATGACAGCATGGGGCTAAGGCCTGGGGCAGTCACAATCTGATCCCCACATGTCTCTGTCTGCAGAACTGGTGCCTGTTGCAGGGACTTGTGGGGAGTGGATCATGGCTCTGCCCCAGGCCCTGGTAGTGGGTCTGGGGTAGATGAGCCTATGGCCAGATAGAATCAGTTACCCCTTCCTCCACTCCCAGAACACCTCAACAGCTCACCAAAACATTTGAAGTGGCCCTCCAACCCTGCTGTATTAGTACTTTCAGAACATTCAATTAGACACTTGTTGGTTTGGAGTAAGAGACTGCCACATCATCAATTCAGGACCTAAGGGTTTATGTGGCTCTTCTAGAATGTTTTTAATGCACTCACTTTGAGCAAAAATTTGGAAAAAAAGAATACCTGTAAAAATCATATAATTCATAATGCAGATTCCAATTCTTTTCACTGTTACATCAGTGTAAATCCAGAATAAGTCTATTGGCTTTAATGGACGTACTTGGGGTTTACACAGACATAGGCAAGAGCAGACTTCTGTGTATCAGGAGTGGGTATTCTGAAGAATATAAATTAGAAGCAGAATTCTAATATGGTACCAAAATCATTTGTGCTGGGTTTAGCTGTGATTCTAATCAGTGGGTGGTGTTGAAATAGCAGGACTGAAAAAAGGTGATTCATAGAGGCTACCATACAACACACATTAAAGAAAAGTATGGAATATTTGCTAGGAACAGTCACAAAAGCATCATTTGACTATTCTAAGCTATGACAGCAAATTGATTCTTGAGCAGCACTGTGCCTACCTCAGATCAGTGGGGTGCAAGTTTACATGCACTAAATTTTCAGGAGGGTTGTATGGTTTTTTTGGCCACAATTTCACTGTTATCCTGCTACACACAGGAATGTCACTTGTTAAACACAGGGGTTAGTGTGTATGGTGAGTCCCTATTCAGGCCATAGATCTTTTGTTTTAACCTACTTCATGCTGAGCCAATGGGCATATGGCCATGCAGTGTTGCATGAATTTCTAGCCTTGTCTTCTGGGGTCTTCTGTGGGGATCCTTTTAGCAAAATGTGCTGTTTTGTTGGGAGAGAGAAAGAAAGATTGTAGAGATGTATGATTCAAGTAGTGGCCTGGGACATGAGAAGCTTATATTCAGTGGACTTGGCCACAGATAACAAGACTCTTTGCTCAGTAGGGCAAAGCTGGGTTTCTGCCAGGCTGTAAAATGTGGCACGTGGATATGATGTGTTTTCAATATGGAATGAAAATAAATATCAATACCTGGAAAGTTACTATGAAAGAGGATTGTCCTCCAATCAGCTCTAGTGGCTGGGTTCTTTCTGATGGCTGGCATTACTACTGAACTGTATTTTAAGAATTGCAGAAGGGAGGCTACCCTAATTTTAAGGTGTCCTGTTGCCCAGGGGAAATGAAAGCTCCAGGTTAGGTATCCGGGATCCCTGTGCAATGCATGGAGAGATTTAGGCTAATAAGTTGGTAAGAGGACAGCAGAAGTGTTTAAGCTTGTACAACTGGGCTGCAAACTTGCACCACCATCTGCTCAAGAATCTCAAATATGAACCTTCTCTTGACTTGTGATCCTAAGACAGGTCAGTCCCTTCCATTGAAGAAAATGTGGAAATCAAGGAGAAAAGCCAGAGAGAGAGAGATCCCTATTGCATAAGACAATTATTTGCAAAGTTGGAGTCAGACTTACATCCCTGATGCATGGAATATTTATTTGTACAAAATTTAAAACTTCAAGTAGAAGAGAGACTTAATACCTGATAGTTAGCACATTCACCAGGAGTGTGGGAAAATGTACTTCAGCTTGCTTTTCCAGATTAGGCAGAATGAGCATTTGAAAATGGGCTCTCATTTCACAAGTGAGATGTGAACCACTTGTGAAATGAGGTTCACATAACCTCAGTAACCACTAAGTCACTGCTGCTCAACCTATGGTCCTCAGGCTAAATACAGCCCTTGAAGGGACTGGATCCAGCCCACAGGATAAGAGATCATCAGCAAGCAACTCAGCCCAGTGCATCCCCCTCCCTTGCCCTGCACCATGCCTCTGATCCCCTCTACATCCTTCCCTGCTCTCTCTTTTGCCCCTCCCCTATGGCAGGGGCTGCTTACTTCCTCTCCCACCCACCACCCATATCAGGCTCAGTTTACTGGAGGTAAGCTATCTTCCTCTCTCTCCACCCCTACCTCTGACATTGGCAAGTAATTCTCTTCCTCCTCTCTTCTTCCTCTCTTCCCCTACCAGAGGAGAGTGGCTTATGGAGTAGCCAGGTCAAAATCTCCTGGCCTGCTACGCTGCACTACTTGCTTACTTTCTCTCCCACCCACCACCCATATCAGGCTCAGTTTACTGGAGGTAAGCTATCTTCCTCTCTCTCCACCCCTACCTCTGACATTGGCAAGTAATTCTCTTCCTCCTCTCTTCTTCCTCTCTTCCCCTACCAGAGGAGAGTGGCTTATGGAGTAGCCAGGTCAAAATCTCCTGGCCTGCTACGCTGCACTACTTTGAACCTATATGTATACTCACTGTTTCAGTGCTGCTATAAACACCATCCAGAACAAGCAAGATGTGTGTGTTGCTGGAGTGGGGGGAGACATTGGGTTTGAAAATCCTATTGGGGTTTATGTAGGAGCTTGGATCCTGGGTGATTTGGTGATATCAGGACTTACATGACTGCATGCATTCCTAATCAGGAGCAGAGTGAGATGGAACTCAGTGTTGTCTAAATATTGGATTTAGGTGCCAGAACTATTGCCAGGGATACTCTTAGTTCAGTTACCTATGGGCAGTCTACACTGCAGTAGTGATGTGTCCACTAAATATTCCCCACCTACCTTTTCTAACTCAGACAGTCAAAATTAGAAATATGTCATTGAAGATACTTTTTTGGTATCCCTCTGCTACCATACTTGAGCCCTCAGTATCCAGCATACATAGGGATAACTCTGGATCAGCCTCAGCAGCATATTTCTGGGGCATACTACACTGTGATGAAGATGTGCCCTAAATGCCTTTGTGGATTTAGTAATGTCTCCCATTTATATTACTGTGACATAGGTTTACCTTCTTTTTGCCGTGACATCACACCTTTTTCTTATGGCCTTCTTTCCTGTTTTAGGCTCTCTGCTTACTGCACTCCTATATTATGGTCATTTAGGTTTCACAGGTTATTTGGCTACCTCTTCTTACCTTCTTTCCCAAATCAGATTATTTAACCAGCTAAAATGCCTTTTGTAGAATCCCAAGAATATCACCATGTGCATTTGATTCATTTAATCCATACTTTCCATTTCATAATCCAGATTGTATCTATTTTCCCTTCAGATAATCTTGTAGAACTTGATTCAGACCTCATCTCAGAATAACCTAGTAGCAATGTAAAGAAACAGGTGTGAGGAAAATACCCAACCTAAAACAGCAAAGAAATGGGGCAGCAGAGTTACAGTTCCCTAGAACATTCATAAGGCTCTTTATAAACCGTTTTAATGTTTATATTTCCAAGAAAAAATGCACAAATCATGTGTTATAAAGACACATCTATTGGTTTCTTCAGAATGGTTTGCCAAAAGGGGCCAGATCCTACTCCACCTCTTGAGCACCAAAGTACATTCCTATTCCATCCTGTCCAAGTCCCTGAAATTCTTACTACAGAGGGTAGGTTGGTCATCTTCCTACTTGTTTTCCATGGCTTCATTTCAAGGCTATGATGACAGTTTGCTACACAGGTAGATGCACTATTGCATTTGCAGGGACTTGAACAGAGTGGAATAAGTTCATGCTTTGGTGTCTAAATTTACTTAGGTACATAATAGTCCCAAGATATTTGCAGCATAAGACCCTCATTCGGCAATGTATGCTATTATGGGTGTAACTTTAGGCTTTTGAGTAGTCTAGTTATACCCAATGCTATGTAGATATTGGGCATGTACTTAAGTACCATGCTGAATCAGAGCCTAAGAGAAGATTCATAGATTCATAGATGTTAGGGTCGGAAGGGACCTCAATAGATCATCGAGTTCGACCCCCTGCATAAGCAGGAAAGAGTACTGGATCTAGATGACCCCAGCTAGATACTCATCTAACCTCCTCTTGAAGACCCCCAGGGTAGGGGAGAGCACCACCTCCCTTGGAAGCCCATTCCAGACCTTGGCCACTCTAACTGTGAAGAAGTTCTTCCTAATGTCCAGTCTAAATCTGCTCTCTGCTAGCTTGTGGCCATTATTTCTTGTAACCCCCGGGGGCGCCTTGGTGAATAAAACCTCACCAATTCCCTTCTGTGCCCCCGTGATGAACTTATAGGCAGCCACAAGGTCGCCTCTCAACCTTCTCTTGCGGAGGCTGAATA